AACCCATGCTTTCCTTCTCTACGTCTCAAATTACAGGAATAATAGGATTTCTCACAGTCTTTTCATTTTCTATAATTAGCTCTTCTGAGTTTCATTTATAATACCTTGAATTGCCATGTTTTCAAGTTACTATTCTTTTCTTCTGTGATTTTTTTTCTGTCATTAATTCCCTCCAGTATATTTTTCCTCTCGGGTATTGTGGAACCACGATGCAAAGAAAAGACCACCAACTCCAATTTTAAATAAAATTAAAGCAAGCTTATATTGTGTACACACAGAAAGCTGATCAGCGACTGTCTCTCCCAAACTGGGCTAGAGATCAGGTCAGCTCTCAGGGAAGAAAAGGTTTATATAGCACAAAAAGTTACAAAGGGGGGTGGGTGTCTTTGGAACTTACAGCTAACAGTGTTCTGACAAATGTAATACAAGAGCAGATAGCAGATTAATGATTTACATGGCATGATATTTCAAGGTAGGGAATAAATTCAGATCCCAACATTAGAATTTATGAGGTGCCACTGGGGTTTCAGAGAGGGTTGTTTTCTGGTCAGGGGGAGCCAGGCATGGGTGAGTTCAGAGCACAAGCAGGAATTCCAAACAAGTTTAGGAATCTCAGTATTTTATAGTAAAACAGAAATTAACTTTTCATGACTTTGTGATGAGATGGCTCCCAATCTTAAAATGGAATTAGGCTAGGTTCATCAGTCTATTGTTTTAATATCTAAAAGTTCTATTGTCTAATGACTGATGACGTCACTCCTGAATCACCCACCTGAGTTCTGTGTTCTGCATCCTGTGGGTACAAAGCACAGGAAACGAAGCCCTCCTGCAAGACCACAGTCACTGACAACACTGGATTTTCTTTCTGGTTGCCTTTTCCTCTAACCGTATAACAAAAGCAAATGCAAAATAAAAACTCCCCTAGCTGACTTGGGTTGATTGGTTTTCAGTGGTTTTGTTGTTGTTTTGTGATGGCACTGGGGATCCAACTCAAAGCCTCACACATTAGATAAATGCTCTGCCACTAAGCTGCACCCCCAGCCCCTTGGGCTTTAATACATACAGTTTACTTCTTTGAACATGTTTTTCTCTCAAAATCTGGACCAAAACTATAGTACCATGTCCAGAGGCAATTCACTAAGAAGCACGTGGAAGTCATTCAAGGATAGGATTACCTGCCAGGTGGTGTTGGGGCTTCTGGGCAGCCAGAAGAACAGATAGCATAGAGGTGTCCCCCTTACCACCACTGAGCCACTGCCCATTTTCTCCCCATCCCTGCCCTCCTCTCCCCTCTCCACCCCAGGGCATTTTAGAGTGTTCAGCAAGACTGTATTGGGAATCACCTTCACTCTTTGTGGGAAATCAAATAGTTCATACCTCTGATGGGTAAGCAATTCAAGGTGGGCAAGAAAGTAGGCAAGAGAGATTTAATCTCATATATGTGTGGGGGGAATGCATAAGCAAGGACAGGGGCCTTTACTAATTATTCATGCTTAAATGCATGCATGGAATATTGTGCCTCTGAAATCAAACCAGTGAAACAGGCAATATTTTACTTATTTAAGATTCAGTTCTTCTGTTAACATTTTGGAATACACCTCTCCACATCACTTAATGCCTACATGCAAATCAACAAGGCAGTGGACTTGAGTGTAACCATGAACTTTAAAAGGCAACAAAACATTTACATTTTTCCAATGTGAGTTCGGTGCACATTTGGACAAAAATGTCAATTCACTCTAACAAAGCACAGTGTATAGTAAAGTCTCCCATCCTGCATTCTCTCCTTGTTTTGTTCCTTCCTACACACAGCTGCCAGACTAATCTTCCCAAAACACCAATTTTCTCCTGCCAATTTTCGAAATCTACTTCCTGTTGTCTAAAAACTAGTTTCCAATGCTCTTGCCTGGCATTCAAGGCTTCTGTAGCCAAGGCTCTCCCCTTTTACTTCTCCTCTCTCCCACACCGATGGTGTGCTCTTATGCTAGTTATTTAAAGACCCACCCTACATGTCACCCTACATGTCCCTGCAAAGGTCCCTTGCATCTCCCTGGCTCATCATTCACTGTGGCAACACTCTGAAAGGCCATGACTGAGTAATATGTCACCTCCTAGAGTCAGGGGTTGGGGGATGTGGCCCACCACCTACTCTCCTAGGCTGTGTGGAACCCTGATTCTCCAGAAGAAAACTTGGCCACTGCTTTGAGACATAATAAGATGGCACCCTGGATAAGATTTAACAAACATCTGTTCCAAAAATGAGGAGGCACGTGAGCTTGGTAACTATCCTTGGGGGATCCTCCATTGTACCACATGGCTGCCTATCCTGTGGCTTAGGGAATCATCGATGTTCCTGGACTCAAAGATTACCATTTGCAATTCTAGCCTCTTTCTTTCGAACCAGACCCAGTGGGACAGCCAAGCTCAGTATGCTGGACTCATCTACACACAATGTACAAAATCCTTTGAAATAAGGAGATATGTGATTCTATAATGGGAGTTTTTATTTTAGAGAGCAGAAATTTGACAATTATCCAAAATGGTGTGAAATGAATAAAGTAACATTCTACAGTGAATTAAATAGAACGTATTTTAAGTCGCCCTTCTCTAGGTTGAAAGATAACTTTTCTGATAGTTGTCAGTATTTACGAAAAAACACAAGATACGGGGCTGGGTTGTGGCTCAGCGATAGAGCACTCATCTAACACAGGTGAGGCCCTGGGTTCAATCCCCAGACACCACATAAAAATAAATAAATAAAGATATTATGTCCAACTACAACTAAAAAATAAATATTTTAAAAAAACACACAAGACGGATTTCCTACCCCTCAGGCTGTAGCCATATAGCCATGAATGACGGCCTCAGAACGTGCCTGAGATGCCGCTGCTCAGGGCGGGTCTGAGGTGGTCACCACCCAGCCACATGGCCTCCACAGTTCTCCCAGGCCTTCCCACAACACATTCCCTTCTGGTTTGAATGTTTCTTTTCAATTCTATCACCAAGCAATATTTGCAAATCCCTCTGGATCACAAGCCTAAGAGAAGGGACTTCCCATTTTGGTTTCACCAGGGCTTGGGGTTTTGTTAGGGGGATGGGGTGGAGTTAAAAACATTGTAGTAACAATGTCAATGCCCTGGTTCATGCTCTATGAGAGCACAGTAGTAAATGCTGTAACATTTCTTGTAACAAAGGTAATAAGAGTTTCTCCCAGTAGACTGAACTCCAAGGAAATAATGAAACTGGTTTGTCTGTACCTACTATGTGACAGGCACTGGTTTAGATCTTTTAAAAGATACATTATTTCAGCGGGTTTTCACAATCTTGAAAGACTCTTCAGACTCAGAGTTTGGATTTCTTACTAAAGCTAACACAGATGTGAAGTGACAGGTCTGAGTCAAATCTGGCAGTATGACACCAGGACTACCAGGTCTGATTGTCCCATTTGCTAGAAAAGGAAAATTGGAAGTTCCTCAAATATCAAGGAAGCAATGGAAATATGAAACTTAACACAGGACTCCAAGATATGTGAGTTTAGGGATGCTACTAGGAAATGTCAAAAATGTCTATTTTCAAGAGGGTGTTTAAAAACACTTTTTGGGCAGTGACAGAAGTAGAAGCCAAAGGCCATAATGTGACAGCAAATGGATCATAAGGGAACTCTTTGGGAAGTTTAGTGAAGGACAGTTATTTTTAAGTTACTTTCTTGGTAAACTGCAAAAAATAATAGTTCTCATTTGCATTGCACTTCATTATTTACAAAGCACGTGGGAAAACCTGGGGCTAAGAAGCACAAACAGTGGCACACACTTGTAATTCCAGCAGCTCCAAGGCTGAGGCAGGAGGATCATGAATTCAACGCCAGCCTCAGTAACTCAGTGAGACCCTGTCTCAAAATTTAAAAAATAAAATAAAATAAAGAGGGCTGGGGATGTGGTTGAGTAGTTAAGCACCCCTTTGTGTAATTCCCACTACCAAAAAAAAAAAAAAAAAAGGAAGGTGGCACAAAGGAATGATAAGTGACATACCCAATTAATCCTCCTCTAAAACATTAGCATGTAGATGCATTTCTATACCATCTTCTATCTGCTGTGATGAAAAATGTTGTGATAAAAAGATAATTTCTAGTGCAGAGTTTTGAAAAGCAAGACAGCATTAGAGTCACACTTGAAGTGGGGCCAACAAGACTGCCTAACTTGATATGTGGTTCCTGACGATCAAACCACAAAAATAATTCCGACTTCATGTGAAGTACAGAAAGAACCACAAACCAAACCTCAAAATGGATTCCCAGAGAAAATGCCCTTTTAAAAAATTTCCCTTCCTGTCAGAAGGCAGAGCAAGAGGAAGTTTATCATCCCACCAGCAAATTTCCCCGAAAAATTTCATTAACTCGGGTGGACACACAGCCAGCAATCCTCTTCTCTGAAGCTCTTCTATGGCGTACTCCGGAGAATAAGGAGCCATGGGCCTCAGGACGACGAAACAAATGGGGAGAAGCACAAAGCAACCTCCTGGTCACAAGGGTAGGTATGTTCACCTGCAGTTCTGCAGTTTTCAGAGCTAAGGTTTAGACAGAGTCGCTTCTCTGTGTTAATTTGCCTATGACATTGTAAACTAAAAACTCTTACCGCTTTTAAACCAACTTTTGTGATTCTGATCTTATTTATGAAGGCAGATCTAGATTATTTAATACCTTTCAGCGATTCCTATTAAATTTAAATTTGCCTGTAACCTTCCTGGAATGGACTTAATAAGTGTGGTTAAAATAGAGTAATTTTAAACGCTCCCAATTTGGGATCATTTAATGATACAATCATTTAAATTAAACCCTAATTTTTAAAGAGATCGATTAATTTAGCGTTTCCAAGAGAACCGGAAGCGCTTTTATTTTATTTTATTTTTTTACTAGAGAGGCCAGGGGAGCGCGTGTCTGGCGTTTTCCTCCCGCTCCTTTGTGCAGCACTAACCCAGGAGGTCAAGCAAAAACTAATGCCAAAGAAAAACATCAGGACAGAAAGCGTTGGCAAGTGCCATCTTGCAGAGTCGGCCTAAAGATTAGGAAACTGTTTAAATATCTGATCGCCGGCAGGCGTCTCAGTACGGGCCTGTGTGAGGAGCGTTCTGCTGTCCCCGCTGAGGGCGCGATAAGAGGGCCAAGAAAGCCACCCGCGCGCCACTGCCGCGGACTTTCAAGACGAGCGGTTCCCTCGCAGTCTGTCCGGTGCAGCGATCGCTCGAGTCCGGCAGCGGGACCGTCCGGGAGTCGTGGACGCAGCACCGAGCGCACCCCTCGCGCCGAGGCCCCTCCCCGCGCCTCAGCCGGCGGCCCGGCTCCCGCCCCGCGCCTCTGCTGGAGGGCGGGAGACGCGCGGGAAAGGGGCTTTGCTAATTGCCAGAGCAGGAAGTGAGCACGAGGAAGAAGCCGCGGAGACCCGGGAGGAGGAGCAGTGGAGGAGGAGCAGGAGGAGCGGGAGCGGGGCGCGCACAGCTGTGGAGGTCCTCTCCTGGCGCGTCGGAACCGCAGGACGTCCAGTCCCCACAGCGCCGCTCTCCTCTGGGTCCTGGAGGCCACCCGACCCTGCTGGGGCGCTTGTCTGCCCTCTCGCTGCTCCCATGTCTTCTCCGAACGACCCTCTGCGCGCAGGTAAACTGACACCGCGCCGCCGCGCCCTCACCTGGAGCAGGGACTGCGGGCCGGGAGATGAGGAGGCGACCCTCAGGGCGCCACGGGACCTTGGGACCCAGGCCGCTCGAGGCTGGCGGGGACGGCGGCGGTGCCCCTGGCCACCCTTGAGAGCCGCTGCTGCCTGGGTGCAGAGTGCTCACCTCCCGTGCACCCCGCGCACCGAGGACTCGATTTCCCTCCCCACGCTGTGGCCCCGGCCGCTTTTGTTCTGGGCGGGGACGCCAGGTTGAAACAAGCCCCGCAAACCTCGGGCAAAAGAGAGGGGAAGAGGTGGATCTCTCCTGTACTCCTCCAGACTCCCTTTCAACCCACTCATGCCATCTTGCTCCTCTTCCTCGCTCCTCATTACGCTTTTATGAAACGGTTTTGCTTTTTCTACTTATTGGCCCCGCAGCTACTTCATAAACCAGTACCGGCAGAATCTAAGAGGGATCCCATCCCCATCCGGGCAGGACTTTGATTAGAATGGCCTCAGTCCTGTCCTGTTTTAAAACATTGCACATTTGTACCTAGGGCCCGCATCTAGATTTTTCTTTAATGTCTCACCTGGGTTTAATTCCCCTTCCAGAAATTCCCTCTCCCTGGTCCACTACAACCTAGGTGGCAAACGCCACGGTGTTTGCAATCACACGGACCAGATCACAGGGACCACTGCACGCCTCGGGTGCGGGTGCGTGGGGCCTTGTCTGGTTTCTGTAAGCTGGAAGCGCTGGGGAGAGCCGCACAGAACCAGATGCGACTGCTTGGATAGATTGAATTTTTTGAGCTTGGGCAGGGACAAAGCTGGACTTTTCCAGCAGTGCTGATTTGTGGCTTCCGCAGTCAGGAGGATACAGAATGTGTCTAGAGGTGTTCAGAAGATTGCATCCAACAGTTAAAGTTGAAATTGTAAGGTGCTAGTTTGGAGGGATTTTCCCCATGAGACTTCAAAGAAAGGTTTGGATTCTTCAGGTGGGGAGTGGCAAACATTTCATTGATTGGAGATGGAAAATAAATAGTCCCGCTATCCTTCCCCTCTCCCCAAATCCCTTGTTTGGAAAACTGAAGGAGAAATAAAGGAGGAAAAAACTTCCTACTCCCACTCACATCCACCTAATTGACAAGGTGCCACTGGATGTTTCTGGCTACTTTTCAGTAATAATGGCCTTGGATATCACTAAATGATGCAGGTGGAGAATTTAAAAAGATCTTGAGAAGGATTCACTAAATGGGGATTACATATAAAATCTGCTTGGGCCCCCCAAAATCAACAGCAGTTAAGAAGATGGGGCTGGGAACCAGCTCTGAAGTGACATAGGTGATATAAAGGCTCAGTGTGACAGTAGTGTGGTGAGACCAGTGTGATGTTAGGGCCAGCAATAGTATGCAGGATGTGGAATTCCAGGGGTGGTTCCTGGACTCAGCTTGGCCCAGCCAAAACGGGGTGCACACAACCTGGAACAAAGGGACTTGGGAACCCCAGCATCTGTAGGGTATTGAGAGAACATGGCACATGGGGATCTGTCTCCAACTCCAAGAGGTAGAACCTGAACCTGCAGGTGAAATATGTAAGGAGAGATGGACATGGGTTCCCTGCAAAGTGGAGGCAGGCCTCTGGAGGTTGATATCTCTCTGCCACCTGGCAGAGAATGTTGAAGAAAGTAGTCGGGCCTCTGAAAGATGATCTGGATGCTCCTTCCCACGTGGGATTCTTTCCATCAAATCAAATCACGGTTCCTTGGTTTAGACACACACGCCCTTTCCCGTTTTGAACATTTCATTCAGTTTTGCAACCCACAGGACACACCCACCTTTCCCTTCCTTTTCTGTAATGAAACCACAAGTGGTGCCAACATGTGGAACTAGATACAGAATTTTAACCTCACCTCCCACAACTATGTTACCAGACTTCACTGAGTTTCCTACACTCATCTCCCAACTGGCATTCACACTCACTCTTACCCTCTGCCCACCCATTCTCCAAAAGGTGATCACAGTGATCTCCTAAAAGCAAGTCAGTTCCTGCCCTTCCTCTCCTTAGAGCCACTTCCCAACAAATCCCCAGTCTTCCAGTGGGTGTTTTTTTTTTTTTTTTTTAATTTCTGTACTGTTGATTCCTGCCTCTCTTCAACCACCTTACATATAACCTTGTGTGGGCCCTGCTGCCACACTGCCTGCCTTCATTGCCTCTAAAGGCATCACACTCTTGTGGCACAGGACCTTTGCAGAGGTTATTTCTGCTGTCTAGACACTCTACCTCCCTTCTGCACTTTACCTCCTACATCTCCTCCAGACTTTAGCTCAGAGTTGACTCAGCCTGGGCCCCATGTGGTGCACACTCAGCACTCCCCATGCTTTCCATCCTGGAACTGCCTGCTGTATGATTGTTTGGCCAATGTCACTTTCTCCCATTGTAGTGTAAGCTCCTGGATAAAGTCCATGTTTCACGGAGCTTGTCTCTAATACCTGGAACAGTATGTAGCACATAGTTACTCTGTACAAAATCTTATTTCAGTGAGGGTCAGTTTAATTAAATATGCTTCAAACCATGGGCAAAGAGTGCTCTTCCCAGCTCAGGACAGTGGGTGGTGCACACCTGTAATCCCAGCAGCTCAGGAGGCTGAAAGAGAAGGATGGCAAGTTTAAAGCCAGCCTCAGCAACTTAGTGAGGCCCTAAGCAACTCAGTGAGACCCTGTCTCTAAATAAAATATGAAAAAAGGGATGAGGATGTGGCTCAGTGGTTAAGTGCCCCTGGTACCAATCCCTGGTACCAAAAGAAAAAAAGGAAGTGCTTTTCCCATATTGATATTTTAGGAACTTATTCATCAGTTTAGTGTAACTAAATTTACCTTGTAAAGCTTAAAAAGAAAATAGATGTGTGTATTTCTACATGTATATAATAAAGGCATATATATATATATAAAACTTATAATGAAGTTAGCTTAAAAAGCAGCTTTTACACACAAAAAATTACAAGACTATTGAAGTCACAGGGAAGGGAAATGGTTAGCTGTTTACAGAGCAGTGGTCACTCTCTCTCTCTCTACCACTATTAACAATCCAGCACTGGCTGAACCAGAACTGTCAGTCAAGGATGTTAAATACAGAAGAGGAGGAGGCTTGAGGTCTGGCTGAGGATGTGCAGACTTTGGTGCTCTGTTGTGGTGAGCTGAGCACCCATTTCACAAAACATGGCAGCAGCTCTCCCTTTGTTCTGGGGTCCTGTGTGTACCACACAGCATGGCTGCTCCCTGGAGCCCAGCCCCCAGCTCAGGACAACCTTTTGAAGGTACCTCACCTGCCATTGGCCCTTCCCAGCCCTCCTGTGGGTGCATGTGGGTTCAAGGTGGCAAAGAAGGCAGTACCCACGATTGATAGGTGAACCTCTCAGAAGCACCCACATTCACAATGCTGGACCAGCCTGTTCTTCTAAAGCCAGGAGGAGAGGGGCTCCTCTCTTCTCTCCTCCCTTCCTCCTTTCTCACCTCTCCTGTTCCCTGCCCTGTGGGTTTGCCCAATTTTTCTTCATTTCCTACCCTTGCTTTCCTGTGGCACCTTGGCTTCCTAAGTTTTCTTCACTAGCAGGAACCTCCTTACGCCCCTTTGCTTCATCTCTTCCCCCTCCTCCCCTGCCCTGCCCTTCCACAGTCTGGTCCTAGTCACTGGGCAAGGCCACTCTAGTTGTCCCTGTAGAAATGTGTTTGCTTGGCGCCTGCTCCTTCCACATCTGTCCAGCCCTGTGGCCAGGGAAGAGGCCGTCGGCAGTACCGCAGCCTTCCCTGGCTCCAAGAGCTTGTGTGGCACAGGACTCCAGGCTTCTTGAGAGCCATTCACGAAAACAGTCCTGGGTTGGAAGAAAGCTATGGCACTAAAAAAAAAAAAAAAAAAAAAAAAAAAAAAAAAAAAGTCACTGGTTCAAAGAGCTGCATTTAATTCTAGAAAGCACAAAGGGCCTCACTCTTGTGGCTCAGAAAGCCGGAACCTTTGACAAGCTTCCCTCTTTGTTTTCTTAAAGGACATTTTTGGAGAAGATGTTTGAGCTTCCTGTGAGTAGCTGCTTCTAGTAGCTGGCCCCTCTCTAGTGTGTGGCAAACACAGGGAGACTTCTCCTGAGGGCAGGTAGCCCCTCTCACTCACCCACCCTACCACCGTCCCTCCCAGGCTGCTGGTTTAGGTCTTGAGGTGGAGGAGGTGTTGGATTTAGAGCTAATGCTGGAATGACTGAGGCTTTGGGGGAGGTCCTGATGGTGCATGTAATCTGCCTGTGGTGAGTATGTGACTTTGAGGACACAGGGTAGACTGTTACAGGTTTGGATTGTGTTCCCCTGAAATGCTTTGCAGGGCGCTGAATGTACCTCAGAATAAAGTGTCACTGAGGTAATCGAGTTAAAGTAGGGTCATCAGAGTGGGTTCTAAGCCAGCATGGCTGCGTCCCTATGGGAACGGTCAGTGTGAATGGTGGTACACCAGTCACACTGCAGCAGTCCACTCAGAAGGCTTCTGTGACCTCAGAAGTGTTGAGTTTGTCACCATCATCAAGCAAGCAAGAGGACACCAGCTGGGTGTCCTCTGACCCTGCCTTTAGACAGCATTAGGTCCCACAGGTTGAGATGTGGACTCTGTCCCCGGACGGAACCTTCAGAACACCAGTTGCAAACCCAGATCGCTTTACCCCTGCTTCTGACTGAGCAGCTGGAAGAGATGCAGGGGTCCAAGGGGCTCAAAGCTTCTGTGCCCTCTCTGGGCACTGCTCTCCAGGAACCTGCATTTGGTGTGGTCAACCATCCAGAAGCTCCTTGAACCCTGTCCTTTGGGTTGTTGTGGCAACTTCACTGTTGTAGGCACAACTGTGCTTACTGTCTCTAAGTGTGGTCAAACAAGGAGGGTTTGAGTTATGGTTTAGAGATGAGGTGTCCCCCAGAAGCTCATGTGTGAGACAATGCAAGAAAGTTCAGAGGCGAAATGATCAAGTGAAATG